TTTTTTAAAAAAAAAAAAAAAAAAAAAATTTAAATTAATTTATTTTTTTCCCCCTTGTCGTGTTTGGCATTATAGCAACAGAATTGTAATCTGAGTGCCGTGCTGTGCCCGACACTTTTGCTTTGCCAATGGAGGCCTGTCGGGGTGAGAACCCTCCCTTGATCATCCCATACTGCTTTATTATATATTTAGGATTTATTTTTGTTACATAAGTAATATGGCTAAAGCCAACCGGGGGATAGGAAAGTGGGAAAAATGAAAGAGATTCCTAAAACAGGAAGAAAGGAGAGAAAGAAAAAAAAAAGGAAAGGAAAGAGAGACAACAAAACCATCCATCCAGCTGCTGTATCTGTAGAAAAATGTCCTGTAGTCACCGTGGGCAACCCGAGGGAGAACCTGCAAACAAACACTATGGGGAGACACACGCAAACTAACAAACACTAACAGCAAAATAATACTGCAGACAAACCCGGGGGAGAACCTGTAGAAGCACCTGCAAGCAGACACAAGAAAGAGACACACACAAAGCGCACCAGCTCACTTCTGCCGGGTTCATCTCGCCGTCTGTCTGCAGATGGGCGTGTCAGCCAGCTGTTTTTAGCCCAGCGGACGCGTGTTGCTATGGAAACCGTGGAAAGATTGATGACTGACTGGACTGACCGGTCTTCTCGCACTGCTCTGTGTCAGACATCCAACATTCCTAGTCTCTTTTAAACTCGACCTCATCAGTTTATCGGATCTTGTGAAAGATGTCCTGTTCTTTGGGTCAGAAGCTGAAACGTTTAGGGGTTATCACAGGAATGTCCTCTAGTTTTTCCTACTTGGAAGCCATTCTGGACATAATTGGTATTGGTTTGTACCTTTACATGCTGGCGGGGAAGCCCAGCTTCTCTGTTTCTCTGTACAGGCTGATTGGAAACATGAACTGCTTCATCTGAAAAGGCTGAACATAGTTCCTGGAGACTTGTGAAGATGGTGGAACTGGGACTGACGTGCACTGTTGTTGGCTTACAGAGGATAAGGGCAGAACCTTGTGCATCAAGGACCAGATCGAGATGGCGGCCCAGGTGGCGGCAGGCATGGCCTTCCTGGAGACGCAGAACTACATCCACAGGGATCTGGCAGCCAGGAACGTCCTCGTTGGGGAAAACAACATCTGCAAGGTGGCAGACTTTGGCCTCGCCAGGGTTTTCATGGTAGGTCTGACATCTCATCTATCTGTAACACCATCAGTCTTTACTCTCCCAATTCCCCCCTTCTGAGTATTTGAGTGCTTTACACTGTTGCCTTTAAATTACACTAAAACAAGTCACTCCCGGCTAGTTGAACATGTTTTGCGATTCATTTTATTGTGGGTTTTTGTCAACTACAGTATCCGAAAGTGTCCAGTACTCTAAATTCCGCATTTGTCTACATTCTGTATGTTTGCTGCTTACACCAACACAGACTGAAAGTAAGAATCTGTCTTTAGAGAGAAAATGACAATGTTTATGAGGCCAAAGAAGGAACTAAATTCCCTGTGAAGTGGACTGCTCCAGAGGCCATCCACAACAACAAGTTCACCATCAAATCTGACGTGTGGTCCTTTGGAATTCTGCTGTACGAAATCCTGACCTTCGGCCAGATGCCCTACCCAAGTGAGAAAATATTCCAGACTATCCAGGGAGACGGTTTTGCTGTGGACTTTCCCCTGTTTGACCGGTGACCATGCCTTTCTGTGCTTCTCCCAGCCATGACAAACTTCCAGGTGGTGCAGCAGCTTCCACTGGGCTACCGCATGCCGTGCCCCCCCAACTGTTCCAGTGTCCTGTACGGCCTCATGACGGATTGCTGGAAGGAGGATGAGCAGGACCGGCCCACATTTGAGACCTTGCAGTGGAAACTGGAGGATTACTTTGAGCAGGATGTGAGCTCCTATGATGATGCTGCCCGGTATTAGAACGGCGGTTCTGATACCGGGACCTTCTGTGAATAGAAAACAATGCTAAAAACTCAATCAGAATTCACACTAACACCTGGATTAGTCACTAATTCAAATGTAGCTCAGAGGTTCCACTTACTGAGGTCCAGTGAAGTATCTAAAATGTTGGCTGTAGCTTGTCCAATAGGAATGCTTGCCTGCAACACTCCTGTCGTTAGACAGCCATGCTCGTTTTGGCCGAATACGAAAAGCAGAGTCAGCTAAGGCTCGTTTGACTGGACCTTTGTCAGTCCGTCTCGAGACACTCTGTGTTTGATTCCCACTTTATTTCCACCGGCTATCTGCTGAAGTACGGCCAGACGGGACCAGAGAAGAGCCCGGCCGGCTCAAAGCGCAATGATCATGATTCCCCAAGACTGGTCAAGGTTTTTTTATCCCCCCACCCCTCCACGGTCGGTCACACAAACTAGCGGACACATTCTGATTGTAGCAGGCCGCCTATGGGGAGACGTACATTCACCAGAACAATCTGTGCTAGCAGGTGAACACAGTCCAGAGAGAATCATCCATGTTAGCAAACGGCTAAACGTGAAATGTAATGAGATTTCTGTCCCACATGTTCACACGGGTGAGAGGGGTCAGCACAGTTTGGTAGTGGGGGCTTAACCTCGGACACAAGGCACAATAGATTAGTTAATAAAACACATGCCAGATCTCCTTTAAATGGGATATTTAGCTCTGGTTAAAGCAGTTTGGGGAATGTAAAGACCGTTTGCGTGCACAGGTTGGTTCTGCTAGCCCCTCACTGTGGTCAGCACTGAGGTGGACGTCCACTCACACCTCTGACTCGTGCTTTTTTTTGGTCATCCCACTGCTCAATAGTGGCCCAGTGACTGAATTATGTTGACCATTTTATGTGAAATCTGGAGGGCTGCTCTCAGATCTGTGGCGGGGATTGTTTGACCACGTTAGCTCCAGTCCAACCAATCAGCTGCCTGACACCATTACTGCCTGAACCTGATTGGTTTTTAATCTCCTCCAGTTTTTTAACGTCACGAGCATATTCTTGTTAATTGTACGATATAACCATATAAGTGTTTTATAGAATCTAATATTTGTGCTTAACGTGATTAAATGAATTCTACGCTGTACGATGTGGTTTTGGTTAGTTTTTGATTGAGAGCTGGGTTTTGATTTGAAACCTCTTAGTCACAGTGAAAAAGCTCTGGCACTATAAAGCGCTGAGTCTTTTTTGCTGTGTACCAGGGTTTACACTCAGACTTATTTTAGCAAGGACGGAATACATAATTGAGTTTATGGAGACTAAATGCAAGCTTTCCCCCTCATCCTCAGTCTCTGCATGTTTGCACTTTGTGTTTGTTGCGATTCATTGCCAGCTCCTATTCTGTCTGTGTTTACACCTGTAGCTTGTTTGCCTTTACAGGAAAAGATGGCCTTGTATCCATTTTTTTTGTTCCTTTTTTTTTTAAAAGCAAAAATTGTAAAGCTTTGTCAGTTGCTTTTGACTTCAAATGATTTGATTCCAGAAGGATTTGCTGTACAGCTCCCTTTCTGCTACTCTCCATCTGCATTTACCATTTGTTTTAGTGAAAATATAAGTTGTTGTATAAAATATAAGTTCGTCTCAATCTCATTTGGTCTCGCTGTAACTTTCCAACTCGGCCACACGGTGGTGCCACTACTCCTGCCTCCTGGCTGCCATCTTCTATTCTGAAAACCCTGGAGGTCCTCTTTTCGGTCGGGACCTTACGGATCAACTGGTTGTGTCGTAAGCTGTTTTTTGTGTTGTGTCATTCATGCTTCATGTCCATGCTTCTATCTCTCTCAACAGGAGAGCGGCACGGAGTGGCATGTTCAATGCAAAGCAGATGCATCTTTGTTTTAAGTCCAACAAAGCTGCCCAGTGGAGGTGGAAGGTGGATAAAGTCAACTTTAGCTTGTGGAACTAAAACTAAAACGTATGCAGTTGTTCTGTAAGATGTGGCGAACGTGTAAGACGGAAATGGAGGAAGAAATAACATCTAAGTACCAAACTAATGAGCTTCCAAATGCACAATAGTAAATGAGTCACTTCTCAGTCCTTCAGCTTATTATAAGCTGCTGTGTGACTCATGGAACCAGAGATCTTTTGTCCCAGCCTGCAGCCATTCAGCGTAGGCCAGACCAAAATGGCTACATTTCTGTAAATTAACAGCAGCCAAACCGAGGCGAGCCTAAATTTAGAGAAACTACATAACTGCATTTATTCTATGTAGATGGGGCACTGTAGTCTAAAATGTGGATATAGTCTAAATGTGGAGCTGGGAGATCTGGGAATTGCTCAAAAGAACAACTCTGTGCAAGCAAGTGTGGTTATTAGAGGAACTTTGAGGTGGAGCTGACATGGTGGGCCACAGGAAAGAACTGTGGAAAGCTGGCAGGATAAAGGAGGAGAAAGGGAGGGAAATTGATCACCGGCAAAACTCGGCGAGAGACTTCACATGGGATGTAAAATGCATAAAAACCAAATGTAGTGATGGGTAAAGAAAAGAAATCCCACAGTGGGTGAGTGGAAAGCTCCTGAACATGGTTTGGTAGCTCACTGGAACAGTGAGTTAAATTAGAAATAAATGACTGATTTTGAGATATAATCCGATAAATTACAATGTAATGATGATTTCTTTAGTTTTAGATGAATCGGGTGACTTCAGCCATGCTTTCTGCTTTCAAAGGAAGCGGTCTTAAGTGTTGATATGTTCTCTAAATCCACAGAGGTAGATTGTCTGTGGCTTTGTGGCGATGTGTGGGTTTGCCCTGTCGCCTTACAGCGTGACGGTTCCCGGTTCCACTCCCGGTTGCATGCCTTCTGTCCAGGTACTGTAACTCCCCACTGTGCAAGACATGCAACAAGATACGTAACCTCTTCTTTAAAATGTGTTCTTCTTTACATCAGTGCAATGCCTAACATAAACATGGTGGTTTTCTGATGGATCTGAGATAAGCAGAGTGGATTCTTCCTTGGATGAGGATGGTAATTCCTTTAACAGACGTAGACAACTTATTTATGAGCTAAAAGCAAATTTCCTTATTTGCAGAAAGGTGTCAAGACTTCCACCTTTGCTCTACTGTTTAAATCCCAACTTAAACTGTGTGTGAGGCCTTCGTTTAATCGAACTGTATCATTTACATGGGGCGCACCAGCATTATGAAGCCTGTCTACGTGGCTTTATGATTATTCGGCACTTTTCTGGTCTTGCTGACCCCAACATGAAACTTTCATATCACAAAACGTATACATGCACGCCTGTCATGCAGCATTGTGAGTGACATCCCTCACAGGTTCTGTGATACCAAACCATATTATGCTGCAGAAGTCAAATTTAAGATTATGCTAAAGAGGAGTAGGGCTAGAATTCCCCGTTGGACAGAAATGAGACGGTTTTCTTCTCCCAAAGGTCCAGCAGCTGCCCTTAGTTCCAGATGTTTACAGACTTAAAGGAAGAGATGAAGCAGGTCCTCGTTGTTTTGAGGCACATGGATCACGATTAAATAAAATGTCCCACCGTCTATATTTAGCTGTGAGTCAAACTGTCAATAGATGTTACTCACAAGGAAAAGGTTTAAGAAAAAAAAGTGGCTGATGTCACAATGCACACAGCATGGAGCGTTAAGGAAAAAATAAGTAACCTGTTTGACGTCACTAAGTTTAAAACTCAGTAAACCAGAAAAGCTATCCAGATCTCCCTGTGGACGCAGCATGAGAACGTCCGGCTGATTGGAAGATAAGGGTGTCCCCGGGGGTCAGTTTAGTGTAAGCGGCCTGAGTTAGGCTGTGATTATATCTATGGTGCAGGGTTTAGGGAGGAAAACGCTGGTATGTGGCTGCTATGAGGGATGGATTCCTCCCCGGCTGCTCACATTGATCCTCCAGGCTCTAATGGCTCTTAGGAGAGAGGCAGCAAGGCCCCATATTCTCAGAGATGAATTACTCCTTCCCCAGGATCTGCTCCTCTCTTTCAGCGATGGACCATCACGTCTTCATCAGGCCTCTATTGGCAGAGAGGATAAATGCCTCTCTGTGGTAGCTGGAGGTGCCTGAGGAAGGCTTTTTTTTTTGTCACAGTAACCTGGAATTCATCAGCAAAGCTAGGTGACCCTGATCTGAAGTTAGGAACTCTCATTCTAATCTCTCTCACCCTGTGGGCGGTACAGGATTAGTTACAGTATGAGATGTGTTTTTTTTTTTAAAGGTAAAACACAAACTAAAAGAGAGGAATAGCCAGCGTTTGTCCACATCAGAGTTGGATCCTAACCGAGAAGCTGAGCCATAAACGAGCAGTGGTGCACTATAATGAAAAAAGGACTGATTTGTGACCTGAACACACAAGTTTCTGTGACCCTCAGCAGATTATTCTTCTGTGCGGATACGCTATAGATCCAACCTGCCACTGATCCTTGAGTTTGTCAGTTTACATGACTTCTTTTTTTCAAATCATCATGGCTCACAGTGTTCCAGTTTAAAATCCTCACAGCTCCATTTCTGTGTGGCATGTGCATGTTTTCCATGTAGATGTACTCTGGCTTTCCCCTATTAATCATAAATACGCCTCTTAAGTTAACTGATGCTTCTGAAATGTCTCTGGGTGTGAGAGTGTCCAGGGGATGTAGGTCTTTCTGTGGCCTTGTGATGGACTAACAACCCCCGTCCATCCATTTTCCATGATGCGTATTCCCTGTGGGATCGTGGGGGGGTGGAGCCTATCTCATCTGAGGACAGGTGAGGTCCAGGGTGTCCACAATAAGTCAATGTAGAGCTGGTTCTGTTCTTGGGCCACACTTTAGTCTCACAGCAAAATGATTGAATTTGATCAATCATCCACAAACACAAATTTCGATTTGTTATTTTTATATGCTACAAATTACAGATCAGCTATAGGCTAAGACAGTGTCACATTGTTTAATGAAAGTTCAGTTCAGGTTTTTTTCATTAGATTGACAAAAATGTCCACATGGGTGGTCAGAGAGTTTAAAAGAAAGCACTAAACACTGGCATGTGGGGCTGTTTCTTTTGCTTTGATGAAAACTTTTTAGTATTGACTAGGAATAAGTTAGAACGCTTTAGAGTCGATGATTTCCAGCTTCTCCTCTTTCTTTTTATCCTTGAATTCCCCTGATTTTGGCATGTTTGGCAACCATGGATCTATTTTTCTGCTGCGGCCAAGACTCCTGCATGGACGTTAAAATTGGGTTTTGTTACCCCCTTTGAGAGTTACAATTCGTGCTTTCTCATTTCTCTTTGGAACTCTTACACAAGAAACTTACTTTATAACTTTTGGCAGTAACTAAACAATGACCACATACTATTTTTGGATTAGTTTTAGTTGCACATGCATGGCTCCTATCGTAAATCAGACCTGAAATGAAACATTTAGCCAGAAACTTTCAAGACTTGTGCTGTGACTGGTGATTCCAGATTTATTTGCATGGGGTCTAATTGATAATTTTCTGAAGTCACCCACTGAATCTTTCTTTTTCTCTTAAAGATAAGGCCTATGTTCCATTCAGAAAACATCTTTGATTAAAGTTAATGACTTTGTATTTCAAATTCCGATCATTTGATCCATTCCCCATGGCCTACATTAAAGATTTTAGGGATGGGTTGGTGGTTGGGGTGATGTTGGTATTGTCCTCATCTTCTCATCTCTGTTACCAGAGTTTGTTGTTTGCATGGTCATGACAACACCAGCTTCTTATTTGTCATCTTGTTTGTAGATGATATACAGAGGGATGTGTAGCAGGAAGTACCTGAAGGTAACCCGACCATCCTGATGAAGACGCTAAAAGACAGAAGAGCCTGATAGGAATCGTGTTTACAGAGGAATAACATGCCTACAATACTCCATCTGAGCTGTTTAAGTAGAAGAGGAAGAACCTGGCATCCTTCTATATTTTTACCGTGCTTGCTTGTTTTCCCACAGATCTCAGACGCGTGTTCTTTGACCTCTCCGGGGTTTTAAACGCCATCCAGCCATCTTCGCTCAGAGTGAAGCTGGAGACTGGGAACTGACCGACACCTGGCCGCATTGACGACTACTGACCTCCTCACCAGCAGACCACAGTATGAGGATCCCACGCTGTGTCTGGTGTGGTGGTCAGCAGCCCGGGAGTCCCTCAGGGTACAGTGCGCTGCCCTTTCCTCTTCACTCTCCACAGAACGGACTTCACCAACAACCCCACAAACCTTGTCTGAACCTCTGAGGACACAGCCGTTGTCGGCCGTGTCTCTGAAGGGAAGGACCTGGATCACAGGACGGTCATCAGAGAGTTTGTCCGCTGGTGGGAGCAGAACCAGCTTCAGCTCAACACCAGCAAGACAAAGGAGATGATCGTCCACTTCAGGAGGAAGACACCCACATTTATACCGGTGAACATTCAGGGATCAAGCAGAGGTAGTGGACGGCTACAGATTGACTGGACTGTAAACAATGACACCATCTACAAGAAGGACCAGAGTGGCCTCCACCTGCTGAGGAGACTGAGCTCATTCAGAGTGTGTGAGAGTCTTCTGAAGACATATTATGACTCTGTGTCGTTTTCTATGCTGTGGTCTACTGGGCAGGGGGCCACGGACAAGAGCAGCTCAACAGACTGACCAGGAGAGCCAGCTCTGTCCTGGACTGTCCTCTGGACTCCATAGAGGAGGAGGAGGTGAAGGATGTTGGCTATGCTGACATCCATCTTGGACACCACCTCTCACCCCCTACATGACTTGGTCACTTTAAACTGTAGCCACTTACACATTTGATTAACTTTGTGTAAAGAATCTAACTTCAGAGTCCGGTCTGACCTGCTCTGTTTGGAAAGCGCTGTGAGACAACTGTTGTTGGGATGTGGCGCTATAAAAAATTTAATTAATTAATTAAAAATAATCTGTCCATGATCTACTTGTAATATTCTGTTGACTCCCCCTGTAAATGCCTTTTCTGATGCCTCCTCCAGGCTTGTGTTTTTCCCTCCCTGCCCTTGTGTATTTGTGTTTGTGCTGCTGCTGTAACGTGTGAATTTCCCCACCGTGGGATCAATAAAGCACTTTTATTCGAATAATAATTCTAATAAGATCAGTATAATAGCACACAGCATCTTCTACCCACAAAGACAGATAATACATGTTTAATACACCTACCTCGAGTATTAAAATAGTCGGTTTGATATAAATGCACCACGTGACCATTTATAATCAGCGGCCCGGTGCTGGAGTTGCGGCCTCCTGATATCAAAGTAGTTTTATTACGTTCAGACAGATGTTTGCAGCTGGTTGGAGGTTTGTGGAGCTCTACCATCCCGCCGTGAATATGAAGAGGAGGAACACACATTAGCTAAAAGTTACTGATTATTACTCGTAGTTTTTAAAGATTGTGTCCATGCAAAGCTTTCTGGTTTTGCTGCTTTTTTAACTCCGGTCTCAAACCCATTTCCAGGACTGCCTGTTCCCTGTGGTCATTCTGGGGGTCACTGACCTGTCCCACAATCTCATCTGTCCTTTTAGGTGTTGCTGCTTTTACCCTGTTTGTTTAACTGATTAACCTTATTTATGTACAGTGTC